GAATGTTGAAATAGCAAATGTTTTGTTACACATATACTTAAACCACAATAAAAAAAAGAAAATTACCAGAACAAATACAAAATATATTGTTTGTGAGGTAGGTTTTTAAAAAATATTAAAAAAAAAAAAAAGCCACTAATGCAAAGCAACTTGGTTGGAAATAAAGAAAATAAAATATTTCAAATAAGACCTAATAAATTGATATACTTCTCCTTATTTTGAAAATATTGACCAAGATGAAAATTTAGGAAATATATTTTGAAAGACATTTTAAGGTACAAAGTTATTTGAAGTGATTGTGTATATAATTGCTGTCACTGTACCTGCATGGCATATTCTTCAGCCATATTAGGGCTGAGGGGGTTGGAAACTGATAGGAAATTGTCATTTGTAACAGAGCTAAGGCAGTGTAGATAATGTTAAGCCCCATCAGTTAGAATACTTTGCTGAAAGCAACATAGCAGGTCATTCAGTTATTCAGCAAATATGTTAAAACCCTAATGCTGTGCTAGGTGCTAGGGAGCAAGATACAACTGAACGAGTTATCTCTATATTAGAGATTTATGACAAGAAAAATCTTTATCTTAAGATACGTTTTGCTTTGTTATAGGTTTCCCATTTCTTTTAGAGTAAATATCCCAACTTTTTAGCATGGCGTTTAAGATTCTGCATAATCTGGCCCCATCTACCTACCTTTCTAGCCTTTTCTCTAGCACCCTCCCCACTGCCACACCACCACTTTGCTTTAGTTCACTAGCTTTTTTCTTTTCCTACAAGAATGCCAGTTTCTTAGCACATGCTCTTTCCTTTTTGGGGAAACCTCTAACCCCTACTTGTCCCAAAGGACAGCCTCTGTCTGATGCATCAAGTCTGCATATCACGTTCTTAGATAAGTCTCCCTTGAGCACCCCATCTTCCTGGGTCTCCTCTTTATTCTTCATGAGAGGACTCTTTTCTTTCATAGCACTTTTATGAATTATTTCTTTGCTTGTTTATTGTCTGCATTTCCCCACTAGATTATAAGCACGTATGAGTAGGAACTGTATCTGTTTGCTCACCACTGCACCTGTTGCCTAGTACATAGTAGGTGTTGAATAAATGTTTGATGCTTAGTGGATGATGTTTCACAGATAAAAATAATTGTTAGTTTTACTCAATTGCCTAAATACTCCACTGCACTTCACTTTAAAAAAAAAAAAAAAAAAAACTTCTTAATAACAGACATTCTGAAGCAGTTTATGTTTGTACTTTCCTAATAGCTAAGGTACACATACTATGTTTGACTAATATTTGAGGAAGAACCATCAGGGAAAGGAGTAGATAAAACATATTCTATTTTTAAAGGATTTAAGGCATATATAACTAAGAAACTTTATTTTTAATCTTATCCTTTCTTTAAGGCAGAATTAACATCAAAGAACTTTGAGCCCTTCAACCTATTCACTTCATTCATTCAATCAACAAATGTTTTTTGGGTCCCTACTGTGTACCAGGCAATTTTAGACATTGGGGATACAGTTGTGAACAAGATAAATAAAGCCTATGCCTTCCTGCATCTTGCATACTAGTGAGTGAGACAGTTAATAAACAAGTACATACATAATATAATTTCAATTTTCTTGTCTTTTCTTGCCTATTTTCCATCTCTGTCATTTTTGTTTTGCTCCCAGGGAGATTTCCTTAACTTTATCTTTTAACTCTTCTACTGTTCCATTGAGTTTCTTTTGTTTTTGCTTTCAGTTTAGTTTTTAAGATATCTTCATTGTTGCTGCTTTTGTTGTCAGAATACTCTTTTTTTTAGAGCATTCGATTCTTGTTTCATAAATGCAACCTCATCCCTCTTAGGATTTTTTTTCTGGATATGTACTCTTTTTTTTTTTTTTTAATTGTGCTTTAGGTGAAAGTTTACAGAGCAAATTAGTTTCCCATTCAGTAATTTGTACATGAAGTGTTTCATGACCTTGGCTTCATTTTTCCATAATGTGTCAGCACTCTCTTTTCTGCCCTGGTTTCCTCAGTTTCTTTCATCTTGATTTTCTATCCCTTCCTGCCTTCTCATCTTTGCTTTTGGGCAGATAATGTCCTTTTGATCTCATATCATTGAAGGATATTAATTACAGTTGTTCTTTTTCTTTCTTTTAGATTTCTTCTCCTATAGTTTCTCTGTCTTCCAAGTTGCTTTTTTGTTTGTTTTGTTTTGGCTACTGCCTTTTGTATTAGAGATGTTGTTGAAATATTTGATTGTCGCTCATATATAAGAGTAAGTCATTAAAAATTGATTAGAAGCTCTGAGTACCTGGATGGAGTTTATGAAACTTCATGATGATTTGGTAGGATGATTCCTTAGGATACCCCATTTAATATCTTTAGGTCTTTAGACTCATCAGATTACTCAGATATGACTCTTCTGGTTTCATGCCTGGAGGATATGATCATGGCTGCAGATTTTCTGGGATATAGAGACAGCAAGCAGTCTGGAGTACTCAGTATTCGTTACATAAACTTTCTCTTAATGCTCTTGTTTTCAGTATGGTAGTAGCTGTTTTCTTGATTCTTTCTAGAGTCCTCCAGTCCAGACAATGCTGTTTACTCTCTCCAAAGGATAAACCTTCAGTTTTCCCATTAGTAAAGAGAAGGGGAAAGGTTGGAGCATATCTGGAAGTCTCATTCTTAAGTGGTCTTTCAACCAATCTTTTTGTTGCTAGCTCCACTTTCACCCCACTGTCAGAGGTACCAGCTATCACCCCTTCCTGACCCTTTTGGAGGGTCACGATTTCATCTGGTTTGCCTGTTGGCTTTCCTCACTGCTGACTTTCCATCCAGCTTTTGCTCACCTGCTGAGTCAGCTACCCCTTTCTACCTTTCAAAATTTTATTTCTGACATCCCCCCTCCCATTCTCTTACAGGTTTATGACTTTTTAGATAAATCTATTTACCACATCTTAGGGGGGGTTAAGAGAGAAGAAGAATTAATGTATATATTGAATTTGCCTTCTATAACCACTATTATTTATCTTTTAAAGACTTAGTTTAGCTTAGTTTATTGTGGTTTTAGCCATATGGAAGTTTTCAGTTTTTGTGTAGTCAGATATGTTCATCTTTTTCTTTTTATGACTTCTGGGTTTTCGTCAAACCTACAAATTCTTTCCTTATCACGAGGTTATAAACACACTGTCTTGTATTTACTTCTAATACTTCTTCTGTTTTGTTTTTTACATACAAATAATTGATTTTGTGTATATTGTAAAAGGTGTAATAAGCTTTTTTTCAAATTATTAGTGAATTTTTCCAGCACTCTTTATTGAATTCCTATGTTTTCAATCTACTTATACTTTACAGTATTTTGCATTTTTACTTACTGTTGTGCCACTTCTCCTTTTGACATAAACCTAGCAATCTGTTTCCTTGTCTCTTTTAGTTCAGGCACTAAAGAGTAGAATATGTATGGATGACCTTTTGGATGCCATTGTACATACTTGCTTCATAGAAAGTAGTCATCTTTGGAAAAGTACAGGTTTTGAATTAATGCTCTTGATTCTTACTGCTGGTCCTACTTTTTTGTAAGTGGGATTTATTTAATTATATTTTAAAACTTTTTGCTTGACGAATAGAAATGTAATTCATTTTTTCATATTGATTTCATATCAGCAACCTTGCTAATCTCTCTTACTAATTTCTTTGTAGAAATTAATTGAATTTTCTGTATTGATAGTCAAATTATCTGTGAATAATGATATTTTTGTTGTTTCTTCCCTTCCAATCCTTTGATCTTTTCTTTCTTTTCCATGTCATATTGAGCCGACTGGGAGTTTCAATGCAATGCTGAATAGAAAGCATGATAATGGGCATCCTCCTCCTGTATCTGATTTTTAATATTTAATATTTTTAACACTTCACAACGACAAACACTGTTAGCTGTGGGTTTTTTGTTTGTTTGTAGAAAATTAAGAAGTACTGTTCTGTTTCTGGTTTACTAAGAGTTTTCTTTTTTAAAGAATTAGAATGGGTTTTTAAATGAAAGCTTTTTCTTGATTGATTTTTTGTAAGATTTTTCACCTTTGATTTGGTAATGAGGTGAATTACATTATAAATAATTCTCTTTTTAAATACCTGGGTTGCTAATATTTCTGTTTAGAATTTTTATATCTCTATTCTTGAGAGAGAGAATGGCCTTTAATTTTCCTTTCTGTAATGTTCTTGACAAGTTTTTGTACCAGCATCGTACTAGCCTCATGAGATGAGGAATGTTCCTACTTTGTTAATTCCAGGAAAAGTTTGACTAAAACTTGAATTATCTGTTCCTTTAATGTTTGGTAGGATTCACTGGTAGAACAAGCTGGGCTTGGTGTTTTCTTTGTGGAGAGACTTTTAGTTAATGATTCAAATTGTTTAATATGACTGTTCAGGTTATTTTATTTCTTTTTGATTAAGTTTTGATAATTTATATTTTTGTGGGATTTTTCCACTTGGTCTAAGTTTTCCTATTTATTTACATAAAATTATAACAGTCTTCTATTACTAATCTTTGTGGTTATGTTTTGCTTTTCATTCCTAATAGTGTTTATTTGTGCCTTCTCTGTTTCTTGATCAGTGTGGCTGGAGGTGTGTTTTAACTTTATTATTTCAAAAAACCAACTTTTAGCTTTATTGATCAAACCATGTTATCTTTGTTTTCAGTTTGATTAAGTTCTGCTCTTATCTTTATTTCCTTTTCTTTTTATTTCTTCCTTGTTTGGGTCTTCTATGGATCTTTTTTTCTAATTTCTTTTCTAATGTAAGCATTTCAGGTTATACACTTTCCCAGTCTTGTTTTTGGGTATTACAGAAATTGGCAATCAGTATTTTCAGAGTGGAGAAAAGGATCTTATTCTGACTTATAAATTTTTCACTGTCAGTTGTGACTAAAATTAATAGTCCTCAACTTGTCAAATAATATGGTTCTCATATGTACATGGGAAAATCATATTTATTAATGTTATAATGTCTCTTGTTCCATATAGGATTCGCCTTTATTTGATCTTATTAAACAATCAAAGGATCGAGAAGGACCAGCTGATCATCTGGAATCTGCTTGTACTCTCAACCTTCCCCTCCAGAATAATCACACTGCAGCAGATATGTAAGTAGGGCATATGTTATATTATCCATTCAACCTGTAAATAGATTTTGAGCATAAACGTAATGCAAGCAACTGTGTGGAAGCTGTGGGGAATGTAATTTTGAATAAGACATTGTTCTTGCTTTCAAAAAGCAGAAGATAAGATACATAAGCTAAATAAAAGTTATGGAAAGTGGTGCGGAGTGCTGCTGAAATCGCTCAGGGTTGGGGTAATGAGGGCAGTTTTCATGCCAGAAATGGCAATTAAGATAGGCCTTTAAAGCTGAATTGGATTTCAGCATGGAGACTGGAGAGGGCGGGGAGAGGAGACAGCAGAGTGTTCCAAGAGCCAGAAGTGGCATATGAACCTAAAAGCATAAGAGTCGGGAAAGCAGGAAACGTTTTTTCAGGGAGTACAGATTGGTCCATGTGGAGTGAAGACAGGCTAATTGTAGGGAATAGACTAAAACAGTTGATTAGTGCATGATGATGATGATGGAAGAAGCAGCAGCAACAAGAGCTAACATTAACGGAGGATGCACTATGTGCTGGGCAGTTGCCAGGTTCTTCAGATTTATTTTTTTCATGTAATCTTCATAACAGCCTTGTAAGGTAATAAGTACTGCTGTCAACTTCAGTTATCTGTAAAATAGGAATTAGAGAAATAACTTGCTTCAGTCAACAGAAATCAAAGTCAAGCAATCTGACCCCAAAGCCCATGCTCTTAATCACTCTAGCTACTCTGCCTTTCATAGACATGTACCCATGTTTCTCTTTAGTTTTGTGCAGGAATTGACATCACAGTGTCTTGTGATCTAGTTCATTTTCTGGAGATGTCATTTTCACACTAACTGTACCCAAAGCATTTGTAGAATATGAACACTCTGCTTTTACATATAAATTTGTTAGCTAATGCTTTTGTATAAATAAGTCAGGCTTTATATTTTCTTTAATTCAATAAGCAGTTTCTGTTGAGTGCCAGAAAGTGTTCTAGACACTGGGAATAAAGGTAAGATGGACTTGGCCCTTCTTCTCAGAGAGCTTACATTTTGGAGAAAGGAAACAAAGAACAAGTAAACTTATAAATAAGATGATTTTAGAGTATAATAAGTGCCACAAAAGAAATAAACAGAGTAATGTGAAATTGAGAGGGTGATAGGATGTTTAGGGAAGCTTTTGCCGATGAAGTGATATTTTGATCTGAGACCTTGAGGACAAGTGGATGCTTGCCAGATAAAAATCTGCATGATGTGCATTCCAGGCAGAGAAAATAGCAAGTGCAAAGGCCCTAGGGCAGATTGAACTTGACTGATTTGAGGAACAAAAAGAAGCCTCAGTGTGGCTGGAGTATAGTGAGCAAGAGGAGAATGGCACTAGATGAGGCTGGAGAGGCAAACCAAAGCTAGATGTTTAGGTTCCCGTTGGCCATCCTAAGGAATTTGCATATCATGAGGGTGGTGGGAAACCATGAAGGGTTTTAAGCAGGGTGTAGCTTGCTGTAATTTGTATTTTTAAAAGGCCACTCTCTGGCTACTATTTGGAAAACAGATGGGGTTGAGGAGGGAAAGGAATAGGGCAAGGAGAAAGTGGGGAGACCAGTTTGGAGACTGTTTCAGTAATCAAAGTGAGAGATGTAGGTGACTTAGTCTAAGATGTGGCAGTAGAGATAAGAAATGGAAAGATTTGAGATGTATTTTAGAGGTAGAATTAATAGGACTTAGTTTTGCATTGTACGTGAGGAATGAGGAAATAGGAGAAAATCAAAATGGCTTTTAGGTTTTTGACATAAGAAACTGGATGTAATGTGGAGCCATTTATTGAGACGGAGGAAAACCGGGGGAGGACATCTAGAGCTCTGTTTTGACCTTATTAAGTCTGAGATTCAAGTAGTGATATCAATTAGGTAATTGGATATTTGCATCTAGAGCTCAAGGAATCCCAACTTGTGCTCAGGTTAAGTCAATCTATACAGTACTGCCAGTTAGTTGAATTGCGAAGAAACTCCAGGGTGGAGAGTAGATCAGACTCTGGTACTTATAAATCATGTGATAGTGATTCCCTTTTTCTAGTGTACTAATTAATATAGTACATGTAGTAGAAACATCCATAATAAGATACATACCCTGTTTACAGCTCAAAATTATTTCTCAGCTATTGAAACAAAATCAGAAAGTAGATTTGGATTATTCAGTTAGAGGACAACACAAAGCAGTAGAACTGCAAGAAATTGAGAGATAATATTTACTATTATCTCTGCTTTGATTTATGCCTGACATGTTTAGTATACAGCTATAAATCTGCCTTGATAATGTTATCTGAAGTATTAATTCATAGAATTCTTTATTGTATAATCAAGAGGTGAATGTGTGTGCGTATATGTATATATGTGTCTGTGTATGTAACTTACCTTTTTATCATATATGTGAACCATAATTATCAATAAAAAATTTTTAAAGGAGAATCAGAGAAATACGACCACAGTATTTTGGTATCAGTAACTATTTCTTTTAAGTTGGTGTCATTTTTGTGGTTTTAATCCCAATATAATTATTAAAATTGAACATATGTACATATACAGCTATTTTTTTTTTCCAATAAGGCAGTAGTTCCCAGGAAAATCTATTTATCAAAATAAAGTTAGACATGATGATGACAAGCTTAGTATTACTATTAAGCTATCTTTTACAGTTTGTATTTAAATAGCCTGCTCAGGGAATTTGGTACAGAGTACTAGATTAAATGAACAATATGTTTTTGGGTATATGTGTATAGCTATGTGTGTGTGTGTGTGATTCTTAGCAATCTTCAAATGAAGAATTTTCCTTTGAATATATCTAGGTATCTTTCTCCTGTAAGATCTCCAAAGAAAAAAGGGCCAGCTACACGTGTAAATTCTACTGCAAATGCAGAAGCACAAGCAACCTCAGCCACCCAGACTCAGAAGCCATTGAAATCTACCTCCCTCTCACTCTTTTACAAAAAAGGTTAGTAGATGATTACTCTCAAAACATGGACTGTACAACCAGGCTGACTGGGTTCAAATCATGGCTCTCCGACTTACTAGGTGTGACCTTGGACAAGTCATTTAATATCTTTGTGCCTCGGTTTCCTCATTGTAAAATGGAAATGACAGTAGTCATAATCTACCTTTTAATAATAATACTTATTGGGTTTTTGAGATAGTTATATAAATTCATACATATAAAATGCTTTTCAACAGTAAGCCCTTAGGAAGTGTTACATGTTGCTGCTGCTGCTGCTACTGTTATGCTTTCAAATTAATGTTTGGAAATATCTGTCCTTGACAGTAGGGTCGCTGCAGCACTGGTGGTGCAGTGGTTAAGCATTTGGCTGCTAACGAAAAGGTCAGCAGTTCGAATCCACCAGCCGCTCCTTGGATACCCAATATGGCAGTTGTGCTGCGTCCTGTAGGGTCACTATGAGTCGGAATCGACTCGATGGCAACGGGTTTGGTTTTGCTTTTGATTTTATGGGACATTACTTGGCTGTTCAGGTGTGAATGTAGGATTGACATTACAGCGTGCTTGTGGCCTAGCACAGATGCGTTTCTTGGATATTTTCAGGACGTTTAAGAAGGCTAGTCACCAGCCTGTACGCATTGTCAGGTTGTGTATGTAAGTCAGGTTGTGTGTGTAAGAGGTCAGGTCAGGGCTGGGAGGCTGGTTTGTGTGCACGTGCAGCTGCATACCCACTTGGGACTCTTTGAAAGGAAGTGAAATGCCAGATTCCCCTGTGATAAATCTGTTTCCTGATTTCATTCAAATCCGAAATACACTGAACTTTACAGACGTATTGTAAGACTTAGCCCTTAGGTTAAAGTGGTGGTTCTCAGAGTGTCATCCCCTGAAAAGTGGTAGAAATGAGAATTTGGGGGCCCCGCCCCAGACCTACTTAATCAGAAACTCTAGAGCAGAACCAGCAATTCTTGTTTTAACAAGCCCTCCAGGTGAGTCTGGTGCACGCTGAGTTGAGGACCACTGGGATAAACTGTTAGCTTTGAAAGTCTTTGAGGTATATTTTAAACCAGGGTCTTTATATTTAAAGTAAATAGAGGAAAATTCAGTGTTGTGGATTCCTTTTCTCCAAACCTGTATTTCCAGTAGTATTTTTTTTAATGACTTTAAATAATTTTCATATTACAGTTATGTTACCACTTAGGTAATCTACAATCCTACCATTTTTGACAAAGTATGCTCCATTGATATTTCATAGAGAACTGTGCTGTTTGATTTGATTTGACTTTCTTTAGGGTGGGAAAAATTCATAGACACTGGGCAATTCCATTATTTTTTAAAATAACTCTCTTGAGAATTAACAGTGGGCATTTCCAACATCCGTGACAAGTGATTGGAGTCTTGGTGGTGCAGTGGTTAAGAACTCAGCTGCTAACCAAAAGGTTGGCAGTTCGAATCCACCAGCCACTCCTTGGAAAACATATGGCAGTTCTGCTCTGTCCTGTAGGGTCGCTATGAGTTGGAATCTACTCGACGACAAGGTTTGGTTTTGGTTTTTTGTGATATGTGATTACCAATGGAACTAAACAGACCCAGTTTGGCTTGTCTAATTTCACAATGTCTGTAGGACCTTTTCTCCTCTCCACCCTCTGCTTCTGCCTGGTCTCATGCTGTAGTAGTTAACAGCAAGTATTACTATTGTGCTTTCTATGTACCTAGCACTGTGCTAAGACTAAGAATCATTTATTTGTAAGAGAAATGGTGGTAGAGGAGAGGCTACTGTTAAATGCTTTTTGACAGCATTATGGTTATAGCAATTTATTACTATGAAAAAATCCACTTGTAGTTAGAAATGAACAGTAAACATCACTGATTCCTCCTGTTTCCACAGTATACAGGCTAGCCTATCTCCGACTCAATACCCTGTGTGCACGCCTTCTGTCTGACCACCCAGAACTCGAACACATCATCTGGACCCTTTTCCAGTACACACTGCAAAATGAGTATGAACTCATGAGAGACAGGCATTTGGACCAGGTAAGAAAATGAAGCACTTCATCTTCTCTTCTCAATTCAAATGAGAAACTAGATCAATTTAATATATTCACTTGTTAGCTACCATTTATATTTTTGCTATAGTTCATACAAATTAGAACTTCAGAGCTTAAGATTATATCTTAATAACTACATATTTAATGACCTGAAAGATCTTATTTGCAGAAGTGAATTGAACTCACCGGTATAACCAGCACCCAGATCAAGAAATAGGACATTTTCAACAATTCAGAAGACTCTCTTTTGCCTCCTTTCAGTCACTACATCCCCACTCCCACCACTCCCACTAAGTGTCTCCAATATCATTTTTTATTTTTTCCAATAGTTCGAACCTTTTTCACATCTGACTTTTTTTTTTTTTTTTCCAAAGTGCTAGTTATATAGTAATCTGATTCCAGTTTTAACTTTTCTTTTCTGGGGAACATTTAAGGAGCAGGAGCCAAAGTTAGGGTGATTTATAAACCAGACGATCAGTTCTGAATAATTGAGAGTTGGCTATTTGCAGTTTGTTCTTACACCCAGTTTGGGTTAAGCATTTCACACAGACTTTCAAACTGAGCTCTAAGTTGGTAAAAGATAACCCTGTAGGAATTTAACTTTCCGTTTTGTAAGTCCAGAAGGTAACAGAGTGTTTTTTAAAACAATACCGTGTAATAAAATTCTGACTTTTTACATCACATTTATTTACTAGATCATGATGTGTTCCATGTATGGCATTTGCAAAGTAAAGAATATTGACCTTAAATTCAAAATCATTGTAACAGCATACAAGGACCTTCCTCACGCTGTCCAGGAGGTAGGTAGTCTTTGTGGTAAGATTTTTTTTTTTTTTTTTTAAACCTGGTTAATTTCAGTCATTAGTTCGATCATATTTCTTGACCTTATTATATAAATTCACAAATCGATTTTTTAGTTTTATGTTATTGGTTAGTTATTGATAACTACAATGGAACTTGGAAAGCTAGTTTCTGCATTCATATTTCATATCTTTACTATCCAAATTCATATTTTATACTTAATAAAGAATACTATATCTCTTCAATAAGCAGGATATTTGTAATAAACTTGATATAAGTAATAGGGCTTTAGATTTTTTTTAAGTTATTTTTATTACTTTATAGGAAAAGCCAGTGTCAAGGTAGCCTTATAACTAAATAGTAAAAATTTCCAGTATAAACGCGTGTTTCCAGTTTACCTTCCCTTTAAAGAGAACAGTAGTAGTAAACTATACTTGGTGTGATGCACAGATCACACTCTTCAGTGGCAGGTGAGTCATGGGTTGTTTTTCCAGTTTATCATCTGGATTTTTCAAAAGTAGAATGAACCAGCTTATTTTATTTTTTTGTACATTTGAAGTTGTTTTCTAAATCTAGACATATTTAAATTGTATATATCAGAGGCATTGTATAAAACCCCTATCTTTTACCTAAAGTCTGAGAAAAAATCTACCTTTCAGAAAAATATAATGCTTTTACTGTCTACTTGTTGTGATGGAGTAATGTACACTTCTTGAACCCTTGTAGATTGGGGGACGGGGGTGGGAGGGGGATGCAGGGAAACGTAGACCAGAGGATGTAGTCTAAACATCGAAAGACAGTATCGTCGGCTTTTGCTTAGCTCTGGCCTTTGAGCCCCATAATGCTTTCATGCTGCCAGCCTGGCCACCCCTCTGCCAGCCAGAAGCTCTGCTTCTCCCAGCCAGCCCCATTGCCACTCCTGGCCGCTCCTCTGAATGATTCTATGACATGTCACTTCTGTTACAGCAGCAACAATCCAAGCCTAAGAAGCTTTTTTTCAGATTACATTTCCCTGACTACTCAGTGCTTCTTACTACTTAAAAAGTATTATGAAAACTAAAGAGATAAATTAACAAATTCATTTAACAAGTTTTTTACTCTTCTTCCTCAGACGTTCAAACGTGTTTTGATCAGAGAAGAGGAATATGATTCTATTATAGTATTCTATAACTCAGTCTTCATGCAGAGACTGAAAACAAATATTTTGCAGTATGCTTCCACGAGGGTATGTTGAAAGAATCTTTTATTGGGAAAATCTAATTATAAAGCAATGGATCTCACTAAAATATTAAATAAGTAATCTACTTTTTTGATTCTAGCCCCCTACCTTGTCACCAATACCTCACATTCCTCGAAGCCCTTATAAGTTTTCTAGTTCTCCTTTACGGATTCCTGGGGGGAACATCTATATATCACCCCTGAAGAGTCCGTATAAAATTTCAGAAGGCCTGCCAACTCCAACAAAAATGACTCCAAGATCAAGGTTTGTGTTTTCTCTTTAGGAAAGTGGTAGAGAATAGAAGGGGATTATTTTCAACCAAGCATAGAAATACAAAGTTTTCTTTGTTTCAAATAAGCTAGACTCTTTAGTCTCCAATTTGCTTGTGTATGTTAAGTGACATGGTAAGAGTTCCGGGGGAAGGAGAGGGGGAAGAAAGATAATCTGTTTACTTGGGTGGGTTTGCAAATTTAGTCATCATCTTTCCTGGCTGCTGGGGTCTTGGGAACCAGTTTGGGTGTAGATTTCAAAACACTTCCTTATTTTTGTAAGTAGCCAATCTGCTAAACAAAGTAGATTAGTTTTGGTTAAGAATTTTGATTCTATCGTTTATTGAATATCCTGTAAACTTTCTCTGTGAGCTTTGATCATTTTGCTTTGTTATAAAAAGCTGTGTCTTATTAAATATAGATGACTATGAATTAAGTTAGAGTTCTAGCCCTAATTCTACCTGTGGTCACCTTATATTACCTTGGGCAAGTCACTTCTACTTCAGAAGGATGCTGTGGATCAGGGAAATGATGAGTCTGAAGCTATGTAAAATTTTCAGATGAAAGGTTGTGTGTGACTACAAATCATGATATTATCACCCACATCCAACCACAAATGCTCTCTGGCTTTGAAGTGCTTCAGTGGACTCATTACATGTTATCATGGGCTATTTGAAACTGGCTTTTATTTGTATAAAGTGGGAGGCGGATTAGCTAGTATAGTTAATGTAGTAGCATCTCAGAAATTATCAGCCCAGATAGTTGTACTTAATGGGCAAGAAAAGCAAACAAGGAGAAGGAGAAATATTAACTGTTTAGAAAACATTGTATAATGTGTTTATTTATACAAGCAATTCACACTCTGATAAAATTTCAAACTCTACAGAAAAATATACAGTAAAAAATAATTGGTGATATGATACGAATGCTCTTATGTGTCCCTGTACCATCCTTGGTTTATTTGGTATTACAGCCATGTATCAGTGTGCTGCTGTCTACAACTTACATTATAAGCTACCAAGATGCTAACACCGTGTCTATTTAGTTAAATTTACCAAGTCCCATGCTGAAAATGTATACTTAGGTAATTTTTTAATGATGACAATTAATTCACTTACACTGATAATGTTAGCTCTTGCTGATATTAGTAAAATCAATTCCCAATTGGGGTTCTTTAGCAAAAAAGTCAAATTCTGAAAATCCTAACCGATAAATCATTGATTAAGCACTAAGAGAGCATCTTAACACTATTTATCCAGCATATTTATTTATTCTGGTTAATCAGATATATATGGAATGAATTGCCACATATCAAAGAATTGGAGGATAATAAAATCCATATATCCACTAGTTCCATGTGTATATGCTCCAAATCTATGTCGAATTATATCAGGCTAATGCTGTTCTTCAGCTTTATTATCAAGAACTTAAATTAAATGGCTCAAACAAGAACAAACAGACTAGTAGAGATTTCTGATTCTAGGATATGCAATAAATAGGTTTTACTATGTATCAGTGGAGCTATTAATTAGAATTCTGGTTATTATTTAATACTGTAAGTTCTTTCAAATGTAACTTGAATTTAGAAGAGAAAAATGTGAGAATTTAATTGCTAACTTACCCATTGGTTTATGAACAACTAAATAGGGGTAAACTTAAAACATTTCCCCTCTTTAAATGCGGACATTGGCAGAATGTGTTCTGCAGACTGTACTTCTAAGTATCTCTTGTTTAAAAAATCTAAGAGACCAGCTCAGTGCATGATTGTATTAGCCCTATTATGGGATAAGCTCCTGATGAGTATAGTTTTTCAGTGGTTCTGGGGTAGAGGAAACTTTTGGTTTGGTGTTCTTGATACTTCAGAATGATGTGTGTATGTTTATACATTTCTACATGATTTTCATTACTAATTAATTTGTATTTTATGTTAACTTGACAGAATCTTGGTGTCAATTGGTGAATCATTTGGGGTGAGTATTTTTTTTGTATGAAAAGTGATGACATGCACTTGTAACTTTAAAAGAAATTGAAGATTTCTATAATTTGAATTGACAAATGCTATTATTCAAACACCTCATCCAGGCATGTTGCATAGAATTTAGAAGATATATGTGTGTGTGTTTAGAAAATGGTTTTGAAATTCACCAATTATGCATATGATTTGAAATGAGATACTCTAAAATGTAACCACCGCATCCAGATGTCACTAGCCAGTCCCTACCTCCTGGCCTTTTCATTCCACACATATACACACTTTTGCTTGTCCTTCGTTTCTCAGACTTGTCAGACTTCTAGGATATTCTTTCTCTGTACATTGATTACAGATTGGTTACACAAGACCCTACCTCAGTATAAATGGCAGGGCTTATGTGATGGTCTTTGTTCCAGAGAGATCCAAGGGAAAGCTTAGCTTTGATACAGTTACTCTAGGCTGGGAACTCACTGCTCTAGTTGGTTTTCCATTAACATCGCTAATTCAGCAGTCCCATATTCAGTATGCATTACCCCTCCAGAGAGCTTATATTCTTGCAGGAGTGGGAAGACTCCCTGTATTAGTTATTTATTGTTGTATAACAAATTACCCCCAAACTTAGTGACTTAAAACAGGCATTTATTATCAAATTTGTGTGACCTTCCCCTCTGGTTCTGCTATGCTCTCCAAAAAAAAAAAAAAAAAAATTTGTTAAAAGCAAGGTTCCAGAAAGCAGTTCCAACTTTGCATGCATCTGGGAAGTAGTCCTGGCTTTGTGCGTGGGTGAGTCCTAAAAAGGCAGAAGTGAAACCTTCAGAGTAGTCAGAGTTGTTGGAGGAAGAGAGCAGGAGCCTCACGGGAAGAGACATGAGGAATTCAAAAGAGTGGGCGTTTAATTGGCGCAGAGTTAGGTGCAGTTACTCTGCTTTTGAGATTTGTCATCTCTTATTTGGTCAAATAAAACAGAGAAGTAAAATGAAGATGCTACTCTGCTTGATTTTTGACTCACCCCAAACTACAATTAATGGTTGCTAACTACAAAATGGCTGTGTTGTATGGTTTAAAATAAATAACTCTATATTTCATAGACTTCTGAGAAGTTCCAGAAAATAAATCAGATGGTGTGTAACAGTGACCGTGTGCTCAAAAGAAGCGCTGAAGGAAGCAACCCTCCTAAACCACTGAAAAAACTACGCTTTGATATTGAAGGATCAGATGAAGCTGATGGAAGGTAGGAACAAGTTAGAATGTTTTCAGTAGCTGAGCAGGTCATGCGGAGAACCAGACTCAGCTCTAGCTCTGCTCCTGGTTTCCACCAGTCCCTTTCATGCCAATTTCATTTGCAAGTTGTGAGGATTTCTCAAACTATAGGTATGAATGTACCCTAAAGTTAAAAGAACCATACAGATAATATGCCATCTATACTTAAATTCAGTGAAGATATCAGATGCTAAATATCTGACCATTTATTAAACAAAGCTATTGCTAACATTTTGTTAATTTTAACATTAAATTTAAAAATGCCTGTCCTTGAAAAATGTTAACTACTGTGTTTTATAAAAACCACTGATAAAGTGTACAGAATCATATATTTGTAACATTTGTATTTTAGATGGTTAGTTTATAAACCTTTGATACTAAAAGTAACTAAAATAATTTCATAAATCATCGAAAGCACCATAGTTAATGGAAATTTGAGTTTTTCATTTATATATATATACATGAAATGTTTTGCATTTTTTTAATCTACAGTAGACATCTCCCAGGGGAGTCCAAATTTCAACAGAAACTGGCAGAAATGAGTAAGTACTTATCATTACACTTTATGTAATTGAAAGAAATAGTTGTCTACATTGCAAAGTCTTTTCACTTTATAAAAGAATATACGCATATAATTCCTTTAACTAGTAGACTTTCTTATGCATTTAAAATATAATTCAATTGAGAATATATTATTTACCTACAAACATTTGTTATTAAATCTGTGATGCAAAGTGAACGTCATCTTTGCCCTTTCTAGAATCTTTCATGCAGGCAGACTAAGAAGTGAAACATTGCTTGGCTGTATCTTCAACAGGAATGGCTGTGGTTAGAAAATATTTCAGGATAGCAGAACTATAATGAGGAACTCTTTAGGAGTGTTAGATACAGGAAAATGTTTTATAAACCTAGCATATGTATCATCACCCTTACTTTAAAAATATTTAATATTGTTTTATTCTGCTATTGTTGAACTTTCCTAATTTGCAAGTTTTTTTAAATTAATTTCAAACAAGTTTCCCATTACTAGGTATCAGAATTTTGATAAAGAACACCAGATTACTTTCCAAGTTATACAGAGCGACATAAGTTTGGAATGTTAAGGCAAATAGAATTCACTCGCTCATAAGCCACTCTGAGACTGTAAAAGATTAACCCACGTAGAGTAAATGGAAGCACATTCAACAACGGCTGCTGAGCTTTCTTGGAGCGGCAGTGATGATAACAAGCGTGCCATTTCTTGGTGTCTGGTGCCAGATCCATTAATATGACAAGGAGCTGGAACTTGGAAAGAAGAAAAATATTTAGGAGATAAAAGGTATTAAAACTGTCATTCCTAGGTCATAGGACATATCAGTAGGCACGATACCAATTAAAATGTGACAAAAGGGTTTCTCTCAACATGTCTTTGTAGATACTAACTTTGAAATATAACGTAATAAAAAGAATGCTGTTTTTTTTAAGCCATTTTTTCCTGCGTGTATTATTTTGAAGAGTAAAATTAATACTAAATATACCAGAAGTTTAAATTTTATGGTTATAAGTGAAATCTCTTTTTAGATTTTACACTGACTAATATACTCCTATTTTAACTTATAAATACTTGTGGCTTCTCCCCTCCCCCAGTACCTGAAGGTAGACGTGAAGCTTATAAACAAAATCGTGCCTTGCAAACATGTGGAAGCATTTTGGAACCCACAGATACGCATTTTAAAAGGAACAGAAAGCTGTAAAAACGTGTATTTTCTTAAACAAGAGTCCAGTTGCTATAGTCAGTACATTTCCCAGTGACCCACTTAGCTGTGACAGAGCATCCTCTGCCAGGCCTGTGTGCAGGGTCCTCATGCAGCAGGAACATTGTCACTTAGCTGTGACGGAGCTTCCTCTGCCAGGCCTGTGTGCAGGGTCCTCATGCAGCAGGAACATTGTCACTTAGCTGTGACGGAGCTTCCTCTGCCAGGCCTATGTGCAGGGCCTGTGTGCAGCGAGAACATTGACTGGAGAGCAGCAGCAGGAGCCTTAGCCCCTAAGGCTGAGGGATCCTCCAGGATACTCTCAGCTCCTCAGAGAACTGCATTCAAAAAGGTCAGCACACAACGCTGGATAGCTCAGAGTAGAAGAGCGGGGAGAGATAACTCCTTTTCTTTCTTTTCTGAATATTCTTTGTGCTTCTTTATAAAGAGCTCTAAAAATTTCTAAGTAGTTTAAGTGTTCTACTTTTGTCTGTATTGTAATTAATAAAGTACTTTTAAAATATCCATGTCAAATTAAGTGATCTGTGAGCTGATGTCTTTGCAGTACCTGGAAGACATCTCTGAACACAGGGGAATCCCTTGTTTGTAAACGTCATCAGTCCATTTGGTAGACCCAGTCTGGGCCAGCTCAGGATTCTAGTCAGCTCACATGCATCCCAAACTCACCCTCATCTTTTCTAGATCAGTAGCGTACAAAGTGGGGTGTTCATACCCCAGGAGGGTACAAGACCATCTTTGGGGGCACATAAAGAAAGTATTAAAATTTCTATTAATTTTTATCTCATCTCTTTTTAAGTTGTTTGGGGTATGTGTGTTTTATAATATACATTAGTCCAACTGTAAAACCAAAACCACATCAGTTGCTGTCGGGTCGACTCCAACTCATGGTGACCCCATGTATGTCAGAGTAGAACTGTGCTCCATAGGGTTTTCCATGGCCAATTTTTTAGAAGTAGATTGCCAGGCCTTTCTTCCAAAGTGCCTCTGGGTAGATTCAAACCACCAGCCTTTCAGATAGCAGCCAAGCACATTAACTGTTTGTACCACCCAGGGACTCCAGTAAACTCTAGGTACATGTAATTTATACTCACCAATATACATACATCCATATTTTACATATTTTGGTGACGTGTTCAGAAAACATTTACTGACATGGACATGTGATCAAAAACATTTGAAGACCACCTGCTTTTGAAAGGCCCTGAGAACCACTGATTTGACAGGAGCATAACACACATGGCAGCCCTTTACCGACTTACCCAGCATCGTCAGAGCTATTTACAGTTCTTCTTCCTTTTTCCAGCATCTACTCGAACACGAATGCAAAAGCAGAAAATGAATGACAGCATGGATACCTCAAACAAGGAGGAAAAGTGAGGATCTCAGGACCTTGGTGTGGGCACTGTGTACCCCTCTAGCTTCATTGTCTTTCCCAGACTGACTGTATAATTTTCCCAAGTTCTGTTTACGGCCAGATTTAATACTCAGCTTCAGTTCTTTTTGTGGATATAAAAAGATGTGTGCAGATGCAAGTTGAATTTGTGCGTGGGATTCTTAAACCACTTGCAATGTTGTAGTCATTGTTATTGTACGAGATTGAAAATCTTGTGTAAATCTTGCCATTTTAAAAGCAGTAGCAGATTGTTTCCATTTCCAAAGCATAACTGCACTGCTTTCTAAATGGTGACGACGCCTAGAGCGTGCGGGTCCTGACAACCATGCCTATCTTTGAGTACTTTGCCTTCCCTTTTGCATATGTGTGATGTTTGCTACTGTTTTTATTAATTTATATATGTATTTTTTATTTAACATGAATACCCTCTGAAAATGTGTCTTGTCTTCCAAATCCAATTTGGATGACTACTGATTCACCCAAATTATCCTGAACTCTTCTGTTAAAACAAATATTAGAAACCAGAAAAAAAGGATAATTACTAATTTTTACACATTACATTTTACTTTACTATTGGAATCTGATGTCCTGTGTGTTTGTTTTATAAATTTTAGCTTTTGAATGCAGGCAGAAAACAAAGTGTAGACGTGATACTGTCATACTACTGACACAGATTTCATACCTCAGAACATGTAAGAATTTCTTATTCTTTTCTTCATCCAACTCATGCTTTAAAATGAGGGTTATTAATAGTACTTTTGGTTTTTAAACTATTCAGATCACTGAAGTTATAAAGCACCCCTTTAGTACTTGAAAAAGTGAAGTGTTCCGGCTAGAGCTTTGCTATAGAGGACCCTAGTACAGTAGACTCCAAGTGCACTTTCTAATGCTTCTGGGTCCTGAAGAATCAAGATATAAATTAATTTTACTCTATAAATAGACTGTTAACTATCGAGCCTTAATTTCTTTTTTTCCCCTAGAGATTTGTCAAATTGCATCTCAACAATTATTCTGCCCTCCTAAATTTGGGAAGGTTTGTGTTTTCTCTGGAATGGTACATGTCTTCCATGTATCTTTGGAACTGGCAGTTGTCTATTTATGTTTTATTTTTTTTATAGCCAGTATAGGCTAACACTGGCACATTCAAAGCCAGATTTTCTCTGGTCCATAAACGCAAGTAATCAAAGTTCTTTGTACGTTAGGCATTATTGCTTCTATCTGATTTTGTACGAAAGCTTCAAACTAAAGTAGCTTCATTAGAAGAGGCGCTTTTTCCCCCTTGGCACCTAAAGGTGTATTTAAACTGTCTTGTGTGATTAACTTATTTAGAGATGGTATAATTTAAAATAGGTGGTATTTAAGTTAGCATGAACTTAGCTTTTACGAAAATCATTTTGTCTAAATCCAGAATTCTTTTTAAAAAGAAATCTGGTCTCGTTTGTTAGAAAACCAAAATTTTTTGGCTCAGTTAAGTTTCAAACTTATTATTTTGACAGCTATCTTGATAACAAAGGCAGCTTTACTAGACAGCTTTACTCCATTTCCTCTGTAACTTTTGCATGAGTAGCTTACAGATCATTTTAGGTCAGGGCCTACCATGTTTCTGCATCCTGTGCTAATATTCACATTAGAATTAGCGCCAGAATTTTAGGAACTTCAGAGACTGTGTATTGAGATTTCTTAAATAAGGCTTAAGATATTGCTTTTTGTATTGGTTAAAACTGTACATTTAAAATTGCTATGTTCTATTTTCTACAATTAATAGTTCACCTATTTTAAAATAAATTAGTTAAGAGTCTTAATGGTGTGATGTTGTGGTCTTTGTATTAAGTGTACTAATGTTCTCTTCTGTATCTAAACTCTCTCCTAGTATGAACTCATCTGTTCTTGGCCTTTAAATGGGATCTATGTGCTGGTGATTCCCAATTTACTTCCCTAGCCCTGACCAAGTCTTCACTGACGTCAAAGCTCTCATCACCAACAGAACTCTTGATTCCTACCCACTTCCCTCACTCCCACACACTTCTCAAAATGTAAATCAAAATCAAACAAAATTATCCTGTTTCTACCCTGGTCTTCCCCATTTTACGAACATCTTACTCAATCCAAAAACTAGGACGTCGTCTATTAACTCTTGTCTGGACCACCGTTAGAGACTTCTAACTGGTCTCCCTGTTCCTTCTCTTTCCTCTTTACCATCCAACTCCATAAAGAACAAAATTGACCTTGAAAACTGGAATTTGTTCACCGTGCTCCTCTACTTGAAGTACCCAGAGTCCTTATCATGGCCGACTAAGCATTTCCTGATCTGGCCCTGACCTCCTTCTCCATCCTCATCAGGTGCTACTCCACACCCCCCACCACTTTAGCCACTCGGACCTTCTTGAAGCATGGCAAGCCCGTTCCTGCCTCAGGCACTTACATGCTTTTCTTTCTGCCTGGAATGATCTTCTCCCAGTATTTTGTGCAGCTAGTTACTTTTATATTTCAGGGTTTAGCTCAGAGACCTTCCCTAACCACCCAAGCTAAAATCATCACTGTATTGATGTCACTCTCCTTCAAAATGGCAACAGCATCCATCGGTCTGAAATTGCCTTATTTGACCTGCTTATTGCCTGTTCCCCATTCCTACCCCCCTTCCCCAAATTGTGAGCATCAGCCTAGCGGTCTTATTCACTACTATAGCTCTAGCACCAAGAACCCATATGTAGCAAAAAAAAAAAAAGCAGGATGTGGATTTTTCCAAGTACATAGAAGAAAACAATACTTTTTCTTCCTCTTTAAAATGTCAATATTCTTTTTTTCTATGATTTGAAAGCATTAACATAAATATACACATATGTGTGTACATATATACGTATATGTGTGTATTTCATTCAAATACTTACCGAGTTCCTACTAGGTTCTACATGCTAGATATACAGCAATGACTACATAAAACTAAAATCCCCATCCTCATGGAACTTACATTCTAGTTGCAGGGAAAAAGCAAGCAAATAGATAAAGTAAATGAAGAAAATACATATATGTCAGATTGTGTGACAAAAAGCTGGGAGGACGGGAAGTTCTGGGAGGGGAGTTTTAAAATTTAAAACTTAGTAGACAGAGAAGGACTCAGCGAGGGGATACTTGAGAAAGACCTGAAGGAGACGAGGGAGTGAGCCATGCATTAACAGGAGCAGAACATTCCAGAGAGAAAAGCCAGTGCTGTGAGGTAGGACTATGGTGTGTTTAAGGAACAACAGGGAGGTGACAGTTAAATGGGGAGTTACAAGCAAAGGAGTGGGCTCTCTTTTCATCTAACACAAAGTTTATATTAAAGGCCTTTCTTCCAAAGCATCCTTAGTATATATTACAAGTCCATAGTCCTTTATCTACAATTCTAAAATCCTTGGAAAATCTTGGAAAACCAAGTGGTTCTGTAAGTTTGTTTGGTGCCAAAACTCATGACATCAAATCTTATCTAAACTGGCACAGAGCTGTTTATATATGCTTGATTATCGGGAGCTGACCTGGCCCTGCTGACGTGTTACATATCATGTGTATGTACCATGTTGCCATTCTAAACTTTGAAAAAATTTACGAAATGCATCTGGCACAAAGGGTTTCAGATAAGGAATTATCTTGAGTTCAAGTAATATGATGTCTTAAAAACGGGTGGACAGTGAAATGCTTTCCTTGAACAGCAGTATGTTTATTCCTGAAGGAAGAAAGGCAAATAAAGGGGGTAGAGCAGGCAAAGCAGTAAGCGGACCTCTACAGGCTGTAGTGAGCGTGGATGGGGATCGTAAATGAAATGCAGGCTCTTAGGGCCAGTCAAACCAATGTCTGTATGACAGAAAATTGATCATTTCCAGAGATGTATTCAGTATTCCATTGATTCAATTAGCTTTTTAGGCTATAATAAAAAGGACAAGTTCAAATTGGTATATTTATGTACTTTTCATTAGTTTTCTGGGGCAAACAGTAAAAAAACAAACAAAAACGTACTATGTTCTACATACTAGTTCTATTACCACCTGGATGACTTCATACTCATTGCCATCGAGTCAATTCCGACTCATAGCAACCCTACAGGACAGAGTAGAACTGCCCTATAGTTTCCAAGGAGCACCTGGTGGATTTGAACTGCTGACCTTTTGGTTAGCAGCCATAGCTCTTAACCACTACACCACCAAGGTTTCTGGATAACTTCACAGTGACGTGCTATCAGAAGCAAATTTTTATTCAATTACAGGGCCAACGTAGCATTCACAGCATTAGTAAGGATTCGGTAGAATTTTCTTTGGACTAAATATTTTACAGGACCAACTTGAAACCTTGCCTCTAGAAATACTACATTTCTACCACAAGTATAGCTTTTTTAATAGAAATATGTTATAGTAACACTATATGTAATCTCTGAATGGGATTATAGCAAGCTCTTAACATGAAGTTGAGATAGTTATCTGTTCTCATAATTCCTTTTTTGTGTCCATTATTTTAGCACTATACTTAATTTAATATTGACATATGTAATAATGACAATATGAAAGTTCAAATTTAATCCATGGACCAAAATCAGTTGCTCCCTAAACAGATAATGTTATGAGTGTAACTAAATCTACTGAAAGGAAATGAGTATGGTTTGTGAACACTCAAAGTATTTGTATGCTTTGGCAAATACTGCATTAAACGTAACAGTAAGGGATGATTTTTCCTTTCTGTTTACAATTCTCCCAACCCGTTTGTTGTGATAACAACATGCAGGAAAGCTAGAAAGGCAGACAAGATTATGTTGTAGTTGCTTATTTTTCTGTCTTTTTCCTTTTTTTAAAAAATTTATTTTGTTGAGAATATACACAGCAAAACATACACCAATTCAACAGTTTCTACATGTACAATTCAGTGACACTGATTACATTCTTCGAGTTGTGCAGCCATTCTTACTCTCCTTTTCTGAGTTGTTCCTCCCCCATTATCATAAACTCACTGCCCCCTAAGATTCCATCTAATCTTTCAAGTTGCTCTTGTCACTTTGATCCCATATAGATAGTTCTTAAAAGAGCATAATGCTCAAGGCACATTTTTTACTAGTTTAGCTAAACTATTGTTTGGTTTTAAGTAGACTTCAGGGGATATTTTTGGTTTAAGGTTTAAAGATTATCTCAAGGCAATAGTTTCAGAGGTTCTTCTAGCCCTCTCCCCTCATGGCTCCAGAAAGTCTGAAGTCCATGAGAATCTGGAATTCTGTTCTGCATTTCCCCCTTTTTGATCAGGATTCTTCGATGGAATCTTTGTTCAAAATGTTCAGTAAGAGTAGCCCGTCACCATCCAGTTCTGGTCTCATCGCAAAGGAGGCAGTTGTTCATGGAGGCAGTTAGCCACATGTTCCATATCCACCTATTCCTGACTCTCCTTCCTCTGTCACTTGATGAGAATAGAGACCAACTGTCATGCCTTGGATGGCCGCTTGCAAACTTTTAAGACCCCCCCAAGCACTATGCAATGAACTAGGAGGTACAACAGAAGCACTAAACAGTTGCTTCCTTTTCATTATTACTAGGCAGAAATTCTGGCTTTAAATACAACTCACCATGTTATGGTCCAGAAATGACTAGCAATTTACAGTAGCTCTAAGCTAAAGACTGTACTTAACATTCTTAACCTCTGCTTTTTACAAAGCATTAAATGGCATCTTCACAAAACCTCAATCAGCAGTTGAGGGCACTATTTCATTCCTGTAAAATCTTAACCTTTTTCCGTGTAAGTTAGGGTAAAACCACTGGAAGCACTAAAACCTTGAACTTTCAGGAGAGAAAAGCTAGAAAAATCTAAGATAAAACTGTGGAAAAGGAAGAGCCCATTGATTTCTGATGTAGTGTCATTATGAAATGTAATTTTTCTCTCACATGTTGCTTAAAAACAACTGGGTAATAGAGGGAATATAACAAAATCCTAGAATCAAATGAGAATGAAAACACATCATACCAAACATCATACCAAAACCTTTGGGACCCAGCAAAGGCAGTGTCAGAGGTCAATTTACAGCAATAAATACACACATCAAAAAAACAGGCCAAAATCAAAATGTTAGCCCTACAACTTGAACAAATAGAAAAAGAACAGCAAAAGAAGTCCTCAGGCACCAGAAGAAAGGAAATAATAAAGATTAGAGCAGAAATAAATGAAATACAGAACTGGGGAAAAAAAAAAAAAGAATCAACAAGACCAAAAGTTGGTTCTTTGAAAAGATCAACAAAGTTGACAAAGCACGGGTCAAACTGATGAAAGAAAAACAGGAAAGGAAGCAAATAACCCAAATAAGAAATGAGATGGGTGACATTACAATAGACCCAACTGAAATAAAAAGGATCATAACAGAATACTATGAAAAACTGTACTCCAACAAATTTGAGAACCTAGAGGAAATGGATAAATGTCTAGAAACACACTACCTACCTAAACTAACACAAACTGAGATAGAAAATCTGAACAGACCCATAACAACAAGAAGAGATTGAAGAAGTAATTAAAAAAATAAACCACTCCCAACAACAAAAAAAGTCCTGGCCCAGACCACTTCACTAGAGAAGTCTACCAGACATTCAGAGAAGAGCTCACACCAGTACTATGCAAACTATTTCAGAGCATAGAAAAGGAAAGAATACTTCCAAATTCATTTTATGAAGCCAGTATAAACCTGATACCAAAGCCATGCAAAGATATCACAAAAAAAGAAAACTACAGACCAAAATCTCTCATGAATATAGATGCAAAATTCTCAGCAAAGTTCTAGACAATAGAATTAAGCATCATATAAAAAAAAAAAAAATACACCACAACCAAGCGGAATTCATACCAGGTATGTAAGGATGGTTCAGTATTAGAAAATCAATGTAATCCACCACATAAATAGAACAAAAGTATCAAATCACATGATCATCTCAATTGACGCAGAAAAGGCATTTGATAAATTCTAACACCCATTCCTAATAAAAACTCTCAATAAAATAGGAATTGAAGGGAAATTCCTCAACATAATAAAGGGCATCTATACAAAACCAATAGCCTCTCTCCACTCTCAATGGAGAGAGGCTGAAAACATTCCCCCTGAGAATGGGAACAAGTCAAGGATGTCCTTTATCACCATTCTTATTTAACATTGTGCTGGAAGTCCTAGCTAGAGCAATAAGGGAAGAAAAAGAAAGGGCATCCAAATTGGAAAAGAAGAAGTAGAACTATTCCTATTTGCAGATGACATGATACTATAGAGAGAGAACCCCAAAGATTCCACAAGAAAGTTACTGGAACTAATAGATTCAGCAGAGTAGCAGGATAGAAGATCAATGTGCAAAATCAGTTGGATTCCTATATACCAACAAAGAGAACTTTGAAAAGGAAATCAGGAAACCATTTATAATAGCCCCTAAGAAGATAAAATACTTAGGAATAAATCTAACCAGGGACATAAAATACCTATACAAGGAAAACTACATAACACCACTGTAAGAAATCAAGAGACATACATAAATGGAAAAACATACCATGCATGGATAGGAAAACTCAACATTGTGAAAATGTCAATTCTACCCAAAGCGATCTACAGATACAATGCAATCCCGATCCCCATACCAAAAGCATTCTTTCACGAGATAGAAAAACTAATCACCAACTTTATATGTAAAAGAAAGAGGCCCCAGATAAAGCATTACTGCAGAAGCAGAAGAAAGTAGGAGGCATCACGCTACCTGATGTCAGAACCTATTTTACAGCCACAATAGTCAAAACAGCCTGGTACTGGTACAACAACAGACACATAGACCAGTGGAACAGAATTGAGAACCCAAACGTACATCCATCCACCTATAGTCAGCTGATCTTTGACAAAGGACCAAAGTCCATTAAATGGGGGAAAAGATAATCTTTTTAACAAATGCTGGCAAAACTGGATGTCCATCTGTAAAAAAAATGAAACAGGATCCATACCTCACACCATTCACAAAAACTAACTCTAAATATAAAACCTCAAACAATAAAGATCATGGAAGAAAAAACAGAGACAATGCTAGGAGCCCTAATACATGGCATAAATATAATATAAACCATAACTAATAATGAACAAACACCAGAAGATAAACTAGATAACTGGGAGCTCTTACAAATTAAAAACTTATGTTCATCACAAGACTTCACCAAAAGAGTGAAAAGAGAACCTACAGACTGGGAGAAAATTTTTGGCTACAACACATCAGACAAGGGTCTAATCTGTAAAATCTACAGAATACTTCAACGTGGCTAACAGAAAAATGAGGAAATGCTTAAGATCACTAGCCATTAGAGAAATGCAAATCAAAACTACAATGAGATACCATCTCACCCCGATATTACTGGCACTAATCAAAAGAACAGAAAATAACAAATGTTGGAGAGGTTGCGAGGAGACTGGAATCTTACATGCTGCTGGTGGGAATGTAAAATGGTATAAGTACTATGGACGATGATAAGGTGCCTCCTTAAAAAGCTAGAAATAGAAATACCATGCGATCCAGCAATCCTACTCCTAGGAATATATCCTAGAGAAATAAGAGCTGGCACAATAATAGACACGCATAACCCATGTTCATTGCAGCATTATTCACCATAGCAAACAAATGAAAACAACCCAAGTACCCATCAACAGATGAATGATAAACAAATTATGGTACATTCACACAATGGAATACTATGCAACAATAAAGAACAATTATGAACTGGTGAAACATCTCACAACATGGATGAATTTGGAGGGCATTATGCTGAGTGAAATAATCACAAAAGGACAAATACTGTATGAGACCACTATTATAAAAACTCAAGAAAAGGTTTACACACACACAAAAAAACAATCTTTGATGGTTACTAGGGAGGGGAGAGGTAGGGAGCTGAAATCACTAACTAGATAGTAGACAAGTGTTAACTTTGGTGAAGGGAAAGACAATACACATTATCAGGGAAGGCAGCACAACTGGACCAAGGCAAAGTCACAGAAGCTTCCTAGACACATCCAAATACCTTGAGGGACTGAGTTTCTGGGCTGAGGGCTGGGGATCACAGTCTCGGAGGACATCTAAGTCAGCTGGTATAACATAATTCCTAAAGAAAATCTACATCCACTTTGTTGAGTAGCATCTGGGGTCTTAAAAGCTTGTGAGCCACCATCTAAGATACATCGATTGGTCCCATCTGGTCCAGAGCAAAGGAGAATGAAAAAACCAAAGACAGAAGGAAAATATTAGTCCAAAGGTCTAATGGACCACATGAACCACAGCCTCCACCAGCCTGAGTCCAGAAGAACTAGATGGTGCCCAGCTACCACCACTGACAACTCTGACAGGGATCACAATAGAGGGTCCCAGACAGAGTGAGATAAAAATGTAGAACAAAATTCAAATTCACAAAAAAAGATCAGACTTACTGGTCTGACACAGACTGGAGGAACCCCTGAGACTATGGCCCCCGGACACCCTGCTAACTCAGAACTGAACCTACTCCCAAAGTCCACCTTTCAGCCAAAGGTTAGACAAGCCTATAAAACAAACAATAACACACGTGAGGAACGTGCTACTTAGTTAAATCAAGTATATGACAGCAAATGGGCAACACCTGACCAAAAGCAACGATGAGAAGGCAGGAAGGGACAGGAAAACTGGACGAATGGACACGAGGAACCTGGGGTGGAAGGGGAAAGAGCGCTGACACATTGTGGGGATTGCAACCAATGTCACAAAACAATTTGTATATAACTTTTTGAATGAGAAACTAATTTGCACTATACACTTTTACCTAGCCCACAATAAAATAACGTGAAAAAAAGATTTGTGGTTACCAGGAGCTGGGGGACAGGAGAGAAAGGGGAAGTTTAAAAAAAAAAGTGACCTTACCAATAAAAAGCAATGAAGGGCAATAATACGAAGAGTAATTAAGTTGTTTATAAGCCATTCATGTTTTAGGGTGGGATGTGCTGAGACCTTATCTAAGTGCTTTAAAAACAAGCTTATCATATATCGAACTTATATATATCTAAGAGACATGGGATTATTTTATAATTTTGCTGCTTCTTAGGGATAAAAAAAAACACATTTGTTGTATAATCTGCAAATAAGCATTTTATTATCAAATAGTTCAGCATGAGAACAAGATTTCTAACTCCAAAAGGTTTTTCTTTACACAGTGTCATACCATGAGACACGTTAGAAGAATCTGACACTACAATGCCATTGCAGCTTCTCTTTTGCAGCTGGATAACTTGTTTTGATCTAAAAAGTATAAATTCATCTCATTCTTGTCAATGCTAGTACTTTATAATTATACTGGGTGCCAGGTTAAGAGACCTGTTTTATGCTGACACAAAAGTCAACTACCAGAAACTCATATAATCATTCTAACTTACAGATGCAAATCCCTCTTAACACAGAGAAAAACAAAGGGCATTATGCAATTATGTAAGGCAGATGAGCCCAGAAATAACATTCATCCAGAGACAGTACTTCATATTCAATAATCCTATTTGAGAAATTAATGACTTGGAGGAAACAGAAAGTTAAAATTAGCCCTTGGGCCTTTTGTGCATGCTAATTAATGCTCCAAATTAGCCACTCTTTCTCAGAACGCTGTACCAGATGAATCGGAACATCAATAATTACAGACTGTTAATTTATTTTGTGTAAGTTATTCCTTCATGGGTATCCCACAGTTAAAGCTGTTGTGAGGGCATACTTAAGACTGGTAATAAATTAATCGAGTGCCTAGTACATGCAGGGCACTGTGCCGGGGGCTGACAGTGCTCCCTGTGAGCACTCACGTGACGCCAGCCACATGAATAACGGGACATTTGGCCAGAATAGCGTAAGTTGAGACCAATGTAACAGTGGTGTCCGACTTAAGTGACTCAAAAGAGGAAATGGTGAATATAGTTTAAGACATTTTAAAGTCCTTTCCCTTGAGCTTAGTCACATCTCATCAGAGCCTTTAATACTTTCTGTGTAAACTTGGATTTCCGGCAGATGGAGAAGACTGACCACTGTCCTTCCTTTGACCGGACGTAAGTATTCAGCTAAACGTAGCTTACCAAGTTTATCAGAAGTAACAGTCATTAAAGAGAAGGTACTCTTCTCTGGCTTTTGTGGGGAAAATGGAAAGGCTCACAGATTCTTTCCTTTCCTGCGGATGGGGATCAATTTTTAAAAGCTCCAACTCGGCTTGCTTTACTGATAAAGTTCTTCAGAAGGTCATGGTCCATTTCTGCAAAGCCTGAAGTTTGTGTTACTACAGTCAAATGGTTTATGCAAAATCTGAAGCAGAATTCTTCTAAATCCTAGGAAGAACAACAACAAAAATGGTTTAACAAATTAGTGCTTCCTAATGCAATGCAATTGCAACATAGCATGGCTATTCCTCAACAAGTAGGCAAAAGTCCTTGCTAGCGAACAGGAAGAAATGTTGTCATGACAATACCCAAAGAACACTTACATAACTATCTATCGCATATGAATCCATAATTGTAAAAAAATTTTTTTTAATTTTTTCCCATACAAAAACTTACACATACATTGTTATGTGACCAATGCTTGTAAAAATTTAAACCACGCAAAATAAAACGTTAAAGTTCCCCCCCACCAACCAACGCAAACTATCTTCCTTTTTCTTCCCGGCAAGAGGCCCCTAAGTAAGAATACTCTGTACGTTTTCCTAATGACAGGGTTTGTTCATTCCACTTTATTTGTTAAAAGCACTATGCTCCTCTTTTATATTCCCCTGTGTGCTTTAAGCATTTCTAAGTATAAACAGTTAGTGGGAGAAAAAGGTCAGCCGTAAAAAAGAAGAGCAACGCTGGAAACTACTCTTCTTAAGTCTTTACCAGGCCTCTACTCTTATTTTGCCTTCACAAGATGACAAGCGTAGGCGGGTGTGCTTGAATTTCATCAGACTGAGACCAGCTAGGGGCAGAAAAGGCCTTGGACAACACGTTATGTCAGTTAAAAATTTTTCTAGAAGAAGAATGGTGTCGACCACAAAACACTGTTTACCTCACTTGTGGTTAAAGTTTAAGCTGCTTCCTTCCAGCTGGCAGCTTTCAGATCAGCCAATTAGAACTAGAATCCTGGGCATGCGCGGTAAGAGACCAGGCTGACCACCATATGGCCCCATCCCATAATAAGTATTGCCTAGGAACCAAAAGACCCCTGCCAAGGGACCAAAATCACTGGACATACGTCATCGAGCAGTGACTGAGCCCATTTCAGAAGCAAGAAGCCCGTCAGCCACTTCCGTGCCAAATCCTACCCCGACTCCTTTTTGGATATGTATGAAGTTAATGAATATGTATGCATTCCCCTTTCCAGCGTGGTACAAAACTTCCCCCAGCCCTTTGTTGGGCGAGAGAGTGCTTTGGGAAGGATGCCCCCTCGTCTCCTTACTCGCTTCGAGTAATAAACTATGCCTTGCTTTAAATCCCCTTGACTCTTATTCTTAACAAGAGTTCAAGCGGCGAACCCATTCAGTTCAGTAACAAGACCACACATACCGTCAGTAATCTTACCCAGGAAAATGCTTTTAAGAAATTGTGACTTTCAAGGCTTTCTGGTAAGAGAACTCAACAGATGGGAGTTTTATGGCTTACTGTAATGCACTCCGGGACAGCGAAAAATCCTGTAGTAATTCTCGATTACAACTGTAAATCTGAGGATCAGAATGAAGGTGACCCTGGGGGAAACTAAGGTCAAAGTCAGGCCTGCCTGCTGAGACCTTCTGCACACCTCAGACTCGGGCTACGTTGCCGTCTTGACACAAGGTGCTGCTAGGTGGTGGTTAATTTTAAAATTTCCCTCTCTGTGTCGCTGAAGCTAACTTATAAAAATAAAGCCTAAAATGACTTCCAAGCAACTATATATGCACATTGCACACTGTAATTTTTTCTTCTTTAAATAACACATCAACCAGTTGCCATGGACTCAACTCTGACTCATTGCGGTCCCATGTGTGTCAGAGTAGAACGATACTCCATAGGGTTTTCAATAGCGGATTTTCTTGAAGCAGGCCTGACTTCTGAGGTGCCTCTGGGTGGGATCAAACCACTAACCTTTCGGTTGGCAGTCCAGTGCTTAACTATCTACCCTACCCAGGGACTCCTTAGAGAACACTTAAGTTATAGCAAATGCTGAAGACGAAAAAAATAGACTAAAAAATGAGCAATACCAATAGACATCCCAGTGTACTCACAAATCCACATTACGTTTTGTTTTAAGCAAAGAAACAAACTACATGAGAAGAACCTCTATTTTATCCCTAAACACAGCTGGGCAGGCTCTAGGGTCAGGCCGGCACTGCCAGGTGAGCCTGAGTGATAGAACCAATGAACTTCCACATGCCCACCTGATAGCACAGCATGGTACTTATACATAAGGAATGTGGTTCATTAACATATGCTCAATATACCACTATCCATTTAAAATCAAAGATTCTTGATTAGATTTTTTAGAAGGGACTTTTTCTTTTGCCTACAGCACCTGGAAGTGAAACAAGACAGAGATCCAGCCCCTTTGGTTGAATTCTATGGCACCATCACCTCACACTGGATTATACAATCTCCTAACTAAACCTCCTCCTCCAGCCCCCACATACTATTCTCAACACAGCAGCCAGGGTAATTCTTTTTAAATGGGAGTCAGATCACATCTGCTCCTCTCAAAACCCTCCCATGGCTTTCCAGCTCACTCAGAGGAGAACTCGAATTCCTTGAACTTGCCTCTGGGCTCTACAGGGGAGTCTGCCTCCACACCCCTGCCCCACCACAGGGTGTCTCCGACTTCATCCACAAATTTCCTCCCCTCACTAGACTCTGCCCACACTTACCTTGCTGTTTCCACAACAAGACCTTTTCATTTGCTCCTCCTTGTACCTGCCTGGTAAACTGCTTCTGAAAGGTCACAGCCTTGAAAATCCTACGGAGCAGTGCTACTCAGCACACATGGGGTTGCCATGAGTTGCAGCTGAGTTGACAGAACTGGTTTGGTTTTTTGGTTTGGTTCCTTTTACCTGGCAAGCATCCAGCCAGACATATTCAAGGCTCATTTCCTCAGCTCCTCTAAGGCTTTACTCAGTCACCGGCTCAGAGAGGCCTGCCCTCCCTGACTTCAAGTTACAATTTCCACTGCACCTCAGCCTGGCACTCCCACTTCCCTCTCCTATCTACCTAACTTGTTTCCACATCACCTTCTGACATACTACATATTGTATTTATTTACAGTCCATCTCCCTTCACCAGAAAGTAAGTTCCATGAGGACAGAGATACTGGTCTGCTTTGTTCACTTACTGTGATGGTTAAGGTTGTGTGTCAACATGCCTGGGCCATGATTCTCAGTGGTTTGGCAGTTGTGATGTAGTCTGGCAATTATGTAATGATGTAATCACCTCCATAATGACATCTGATATAATGTAATCACCTCCATGATGAGATCTGCTATGAGCAGCCAATCAGTTGAAAGAGAGTTTCCTTGGGGGGTGTGGTCTGCATCCAAAATAATTTGCTCTTGGGTTTTGCTTGCTCTGGATCCTGCATCCGGCTCATCATCATGTCACCTCCAGTTCTTGGGACATGAGCCAGGGGCTTGCCGTATTGACTGCCAATCTTGGGATTCATTGGCTTCTGCAGCCTGTGACACAGCACCCCGCCATCTGACCTGCTGATCTTGGGTTCATCAGCCCCTGCAGCGACATGAGTCAGTAGAAACCTCCAGCCTGACTCCAGACCCACAGACTTGGGACTTGCCAGCCTCTATAACCATGTGCCTGAGGCAGATGCCTTATAAGACATAGTTGAATCTTCTCAAAACACAACCCCACCACCAATTTTTGCTTCTAGACCTATAACTAGACTTAAGTCTCAGTAAGCCCCAAAAGGTGAAGTACAAAATGACCCAGGAGGAGGTATGCTACACACCAAAAGAACTGCTTGACTATTCTACTATATACAAACAGAAACCAGGGGAATACATGTAGGAATGGCTATTATGGGTGTCTTAGTTATCTAGTACTGCTATTACAGAACTACCACAAGTGGATGGCTTTAACAAAGAGAAATTTATTCTCTCACAGTCTAGTAAGCTAGAAGTCCAAATTCAGAGGATCAGCTCCAAGGGAAGGCTTTCTCTGTCGGCTCTGGAGGAAGATCCTTGCCATCAATCTTCCCCTGGACTGGGAGCTTCTCCACGCAGGAACCCTGAGTCCAAAGGACATGCTCTGCTCTCGGTGCTGCTTTCTTGGTGGTATGAGGTCCCCCATCTCTCTGTTTGCTTCTCTCTTTTGTATCTCAAAAGAGACTGACTCAAGACACAATCCAATCTTGTAGATTGAGCCCTGCCTCATTAACATAACTGCCTCTTATCCCATCTCATTAACATCATAGAGATAGGATTGACAACACATAGGAAAATCACATCAGATGACAAAATGGTGGACAATCACACAATACTGGGAATCACGGCCCAGCCAAATTGACATACATATTTTTGGGGAACACAATTCAATCCATGACATTCCACCCTCTGGCCCCCCAAAATTCATGTCCTTGCCACATGTAAAACATATCCACCCCATCATATCATAGCAAAAGTCTTAACTCCAAGTCCAAAATCCAAAACTTCCTCTTCATCTGTGAAATCTAGAATACAAGGTATCTGCTTCCAAAGCTACAACAGCAGAATAGGCACAAGCCAGACATTTCCACTACATATGAGAGAAACTGGAGGGAAAAAAGGATAACAGGCACCAAGCAAGTTAGCAGAACACATTACATCAGCTCTCAAGGCTTTGAAAATAATCCTCTGTTCTCTAACACAATTTACACAATGGCCCTGCCCTCCAGACTCTAGGCATTGGCCACACTCTATGGAGTCTGAGTGGAGTCCCCTCAGCCCCGGCCTTCAGCTCCACCCTCCAGGCCCAATGGGATGGCAACTCTGCTCCCTCGGCTTTAGGCCTGCCATTCTCCCAGTCCATCTGAGTGGCAACTCCACCCTTAGAAACACCAGAGACCATGGTCCACTCTCTGAAATCCCAGAGGTCATGGCCATACCCTTTGAGACTGAGGCAGCTCGGCTTCCTATGTTCCTTGTCTCTTCAGCTCCTGCTTCCTGGTTTCTTGGCCTCTCAGCCCCTCAGGACTCTTCACCTGCATCTGCTCTGGTGGGGCTAGTGTTCCAAAGCTCTTAGCTCCACCAGTAAGTGCCTAGAGGCAACCTACTCTGCCAGTAAACTTCAGATGGAAGGCACTCAGCTCTCTTGCTCTATGGGTTGGCAAGCCTAGCTCCACTGAT